CCCACCCACCCCTGGATTTTCAATGCCACAATGTATCTTCAATATTAAGCTATTACTTGTTCCAAGATGTATCATTTAATATAAAAATGCATCCCCACTAGTGCTTTGTTTCTTCCTCTCTCAAACTTGGTTGTGGCCTGTCTTAGATGGTCATACAGGAGAGTACAACCCCACCCGGAACAAGTGAGCAAGAAGTAAAAGAGTCTTTTTATGGGGCTTCTTCTGGGGCAATGCAGATGCATGCTACCCAAGTCTCAGGGCTGAGCTGAATGTTCTAACTGAGCTTTGTCAAAATATGCAGCTTTACTTACAGGGGTGATAATGGTTGCCACCCCGACAGGCTGTTTCAGCACCAAGATCCTTCTGCCTTTTGCAGCAGGTGGAATGATGTCCCCATAAACACGTCGAGCTTCTTCAGCAAACCACTCCAGAAAGGAGGCAGAATACAGGATTTCACCTTGAGCCTCTTTCAAAGGCTTCCCCTGCAATTAAATCAGAGTGTCTGAAGAAATGTTTTTATAAACATCTAACACAATGATAAAACTGAGGTGATAAACACATAATTAATTTGCCCTTGATTCACTTGTAATAAGGTAATTTTTGCAACTGTTTTGATTGTCTGTATTATTTTCATGCTGGGCAGAATCTGGGCTAAGGGTTTAAGACAGCATTTGCTTAAAAGGTTTTAAATGTGGTTCTCTATAACTGAATTCTAGAGATGAACTCTGCACAGTGTGCCTTGCTTTATACCTGTTAATATACAGGGCACTAGAATTAATAAGAGATGCTGCATTTAATGTGGTTATTGGAGGATATAGGTTGAAGGAGATAAATGATAGTGTGAAGTCATTACAAATTGAAGTTATATGTTTAATTTCATACTGTTAATCATCCTTGATACTCTGTCCCTTAGAATATCAGGTAAGTTTTTAGTATACTACATTTATTTTATCATGTGCAAGATGGCATGAAAGACTAGTTAAGCTGTTATACGTGCTGAGGGAGTCATTGCTAGTCTATAAAATTAATGAAAAAACTTGTAGAGGACTGAGTAGTTTTGAAGATACTGCAGAGCACTTCATTGAAACTCAACAAAAGGATTATTATTATATGCAGGAACTGCTTTAGCCTGAAAATCCACCAGCAGAGCACTTCATTGAAACTCAACAAAAGGATTATTATTATATGCAGGAACTGCTTTGGCCTCGCCACTAGTTAGGTAAGTAGGTAGGTGCTCAACAGGACAGCTATCTTCCCTGGGGACTACATGAATGACAGGTGGAGCCTCTATCAGCGAATTTCACTGTTACATGCAGTACACAGTGAAAATGCCTGTTTTGTCAGCATTTTCTTTAAAAAAAAAAGCTCTAGCACTAGCATCTCCCCATGCTTGGCAGTGTGTTATCTTCTGGTATTGAGAATCCACCTTTTGATGTTGCCATAAAAGATCTGTCAAATATATAGGCTATTACTGAAAATCACAGTTTATGTGTGTTCTGAGCAGCATTTGAACTCCAAAGTAAAAGTACAGAGGTTCATATTTTGTTATTCAAATAGTTGTTCATTCAGTGAGCATACCCCATCTTTTGCCTGAACAAAACAGGGATTATGTAGAAAAACTGATCCTATAAGCAAACTATTGTAACACATGCATGTTAAGGAAACTGACCTTATTTTTGACTGCTTGATTGTGTGACTTAAAATTCTTGTTAAGCTTTTTTAATGTAATACACACAGGTACAGGTTTGTTAACCCTACCCTGGGCAGCTCCTTGAACATGGCAATTAAAGACTATAAAGTATGAAAATGCCAACTAAAACCAAACAGCAAGACAAAAGAGATTGAAGGATGATGCTGTCCAAATGATGTGTCAAGGAATTAATTAGAACATCTTGAACATCTGAAATGGAAACCTGGTTAATGGAAATGGTTGAAAGTAAGATAGTGGCATACATAACTAATTACGAGAGTTACATTTTGGTGTATCAAAAATTACATACTGCCACACAGAAACCCAGCCACCAGATCTTAGTGAATACACAGATGATTTAAAGAATTTCCTTCCTAAGTGTTATCCCAATAACAGGAGATGGGCAAGTACCTAAAGCAGAAAGGGGCAGGAGCTTTGCATGAGTGCTTTGCAATTGGTTTTTTAGCCATCAGTGCAGACCTACTGATCCACCTTCAAGGTGAAGTTCCCTGGCATAGAAGTACTGCACTCTTCACTGGTTTCAAACTAGGGTAAGAAGAACTTGGTTTACTGTCTTACAGAAAGAAAGGTCTTACATCAGTTACATGTCCAATACTGATATCAATGATGTTAAATTTACAAATAATATCCTCTGGTCACTTCATCCCATAGATCTGATATATCACCAGTGCATAATGTGCAGTGCATAAAGCCTTTACACTTTTTCACATATGTCAAGTGCCACCCCACTGGGGCAAGAACTGCCAAACAAGTTGCCTTTGTAACTTAAATGCTACCAATATTGAACTTAAAATAAAAAGGGAAATATGTAAGAGGAGTAAAGCAGTTTTGAAAATTGAAATGCACTGGTTAAAACTTGTAGCTCTCCAGTACTGCTGGAACTGACTGACAGCAAGGCTCAGGGACCAGAACTCTGGGTGTTAGACTCAGCAGGACTGGATTCTATTATTCCAGATCCTGTCCAAAGTCACGCTTCCAGTCACTTCACCCTTCAAGGCCTGTTTCCCCTCGAACTTTATCTACCATGTCCTTGTAAGATCCTGATGGAAGGGACTGTTTCTACTGGATGCACATATACCACTAACTTGCCAAAGCTGAACCATGTGAAACACACACTGCTCCATGCACATTGCCTCTTGAATTGGAAGCAGCATAGCTGCTTCGGTGCAGCAATGTGGATGGGTACGTCAATCATCTCTGCTCAGCAACAGAGCAAAACAGCTCAGCTACAGTACTGAGTGTTCACCCAACATCAGCTTTGGGAAGTAACCTGCATGCAGTAGTGCATTATGTTTCAGCCTGGCGCAGCGAGTTAGTTGTGTAGATATGCCCACTCTGTGTTTGGACAATAACATGGCCCTAATTTTGGCTAACGTGTCGGTGCTGCTACCGTAAATATAATAAACAAAATTAGAATTTGCTCTATAAAGAAGCTCACTTGTAACACAAGATGCATAAAGAATCGGGGCTAGGTGCATGAACAGAAAGACATGGCCTTTCCAAAAGTTTGAGTCTATATGACCCAAACATTTTTTTTAAATTGGGAAAACTACGTGCAGACTAGTCATGGGTAGGTTTGCTAAACTGTTTTAGTATTCTCTTCACTGTTTTTATTTTTCACAGGCATGTTTTATATTTGAATCTATTTGTTATACCTTTTAGTTGATCTGACTTCTGCTCTCCCTCACTTGTATCTAACTTGCGCATAGAATGATATATGCAGTTGTATATTGGACTTTTAAGAGGGGATGGATGCATGCATGCATGTGTGTAGAGGTGAAGAGTTGCTGGGCTGTCTTTTCTTTTTCTGTAACAGCCAAACAACGGCAGGCCAGATGCTAGGAAATATGGAATTAAGAAGAAGAGAAGCAGCAAGTATTAGCCCTTTCCTTTTTTATCCTCAAAAAGCTAAGATGTACATTGCTCAGATCATGCCTAGTCCTAATTCAGGGTCTGCTTTTACTATTATTAAAGACAAAGGGCCTTAAATTGGGACTCTGATCTAGAGGTATTGAGCATATTGCAACCATCTTTGTCTGGAAGCTCTGAGCATTCAGCCTCTCAGAACAAGACATAATACCAAAGGCAAAGAATACTTAGTATATTTCAGCCTCCGCTATACTTACATTCTCTGCTGTAATGATCTTAGCAAGGTCATCTTTATTCTCAATCATCAAGTGATACCATTTCCGAAGTAATGCACTTCTTTCCTGGATGAGACAGAGAGAGAGAGCGCGCAAGATGTTTAGCAGGCTAAGAACTGTTTAAATGTAAGCAAGAACATTACTATCCTGAATTAACTATACAGTTGCTGAGCATACAGACGTGTCCTCTATACAGAAAAGGTTGGGATGATAAGAGAGAGTTCGAGATCCTATCCAGGGATAGGGCGAGTAAAAGCTCATCTTTGGAGTAATTTTTGCTTTTGACA